AACTTTTCTTTCCTTTAACATTGCCCAAAAAAAGAAAGAAATTGAGCCAACAATAAAATTAGATAAACAAATTGGGGCTTAATTATCATTGGATATTGTGGTAGAAACTAAAAAAATTTGGTTTAAAAATGGACATGCAGTCGTAGGTTTGGTGAGTTTTCGCACAATGGTGCACAACAGGAGCGATTATATGAGGCATTAGAACTAAACCCCCTCTGCCTTGAGAAGAGGTTTTGGTTTGCTGCCCGAATTCACAAATTTTTCCTGATCAATTTTAGAGTTAGAAGCATTCAGCAGGGTATATTTTTAGTCTCAAGATCTGGATCAACAAATTTGTTAAATGTTTACTTGGTGAGCCGTTGGAGTGAATACAGGAGCAACACCCCTGAACCAATGATTCTGTCATCTGAAAAATAGTCTCTTGGCTCAAAAAGTTGGTGCATAATCTAAAAGTTTATGCACATGTACAGGACGCTATGGGTAATCCCTGTCTCAGATTTCGAGTGAAGGATCCCTTTTTTGAAACGGCTCCTCAACTAAGTTCACTGATGATGGCAAAAGGCAGATTTTCAAAACAACCTCTACACTTTCATAGTTGGATGAGTTAGGAATCAAGGGGTTAATAATTATGCATAACTTGAAATTGGTGATAAACTTTACAAAGAAACTAAAAAAAAATAAGAAAATAGGGTAAACAAAAAGAAGCGTTGTTTTCTTTTCCTATTTCCTCTTTTTTTTCATGTCTTTTCTTTTTTTGACAGCATCTGTAAAATAATATGAGTTCTGATGAAGTTGATCAAATAGCTTGATTCTTATCTATGTTCTCTCTTTCTCTTTTCAGCTGTCTGAATTGTGCCTTAAGTTGGACGAATTATGGCACGAGAATAAAGGAAGTGAAATACTTTTTATCTGGGTCGACTTTATCAAAGAAAACATCATCCAACTTTTTAGCGTGGATAATTCTATTACAATCGATGACTTATCTACAGCTCACTTGGGCGAATCGTCCCTCATTAACACGTTGTCGTGCCTTCAGATTGCTAGTAGTAGTAATAGTATCAATAATGAGAGTACAGTAAATGTCAAACCTCCCTTGGTAACACCAATTAGTGAGAAGCCTAGATTTCAGCCTGCATCCAAAGATCTAGAGTTACAAATCCAGCCTCAGATTGCTGATGCCTCTAAAAATTCTGAGCCTGGATCTAAAGGTCTTGAGTTACAAATTCAGCCTCAGATTGCTGATGCCTCTAAAAATTCTGAGCCTGGATCTAAAGGTCTAGAGTTACAAAGTCAGCCTCAGATTGCTGATGCCTCTAGCAATCTGAATCCACAAACAAATGGAGATTCCGAGAAGTCTGATTTATGTGATAATAGAGTTTTAATAAAAAATGTAGATACCCCCATCCATATCATCCTTAATGAATATAACACCAGGAAAGTTCAAGAAGAGCTCATGAAGTCGCAAGTCATGTGCAACTCTTGCTTTGATGTAAGTATTGATATCTTTTGAAAAAATTCCATTGAATTTTTGTCTAACGTAGATTTACGCAGGAATGGATCAACTAGGACGGCCGGATGGTGATTGCCTTGCAATTATTCGCATTTAATTATTTCTTTTAAATTCTAATGCCTGCAACTGGATTCTTCCTCTGCTTTTGTCTTATTGCTAGAAGATCATTCAATGTGAAATGTCTGCTAAAAATGCATTTTATTAGATTTTTTTGTTGTTTCTGAGTAAACACTGGCACACACACACATTCATTCACCAAAAAAAAAAATAATAATAATAAAAAAAAAACTTCAAATGAAATTATTTGAAGAGTTTCAATAAAAATTTGAACATAGTTGGGAGCAGCAATTCGCAGCTTGACAAGTGTTGGGTACTTGGAAATAATTAATTGATAAAGCAATTTTTTGACAAATTTCTTGCGTTACAAAATGCAAAATGTTTTGCAGCCCCCTCAGATCATTATCTTTTTTACCCTATTCTGTATACGTATTGTAGAGCCTATTTGCTGCACATGTAAAGTTGCTTTTTGTTCTTCTAATTACAGGAGAAGTTGGGGGCAGAATGCACTCAGTTTACACCTTGCTTTCATGTATTTTGCAAAGAATGTGTATCCTGCTACTTTGAGACTCAAATTAAAGAAAATCGGATTTTTTCTCTCGGGTGCCTAGAAAATAAATGCGAGTCCCCAGCATCGCAAGCGCAAGTAAGAATCTCAACTCATCGTAAATTTTTATGACTTTGTGTTTCCTTTTAACATGGTGTATCCAAAGATTCCATCCTTTTAATGTAAATTTTTTTTTAAAAGCTGAGGAGCTGAAAAATTAGTTTTTTAAAGCAATATAAAATCGCAATACAAAATGAATTGGGATTTTTAATATGGAACACTTCATTAGCTCATTGAGATTTGTCCCCATGAGTAGCAGGTTTCTCTAAAATAACTTGTTATATATTCTGCTGACCGTATGGGGGACTGTACTGTCACAGGTTTAGCAATCCTGCGGACCCCAGCTGGTAGCCCCTGCCTCAAAGGGGTTTTTGGAGTTGGTCACCGGCTTCTAGGCGCATGAACCACCCAGAGAAGGGTAGATTGGGCTCTTAGTCGTAGTGAAGGCAACCAATCTAGGAGAGCGCACTCCGAATTCAAATGCTGGTCCTCCAGGTTGGGGGTTGAGTCATCGGGCTGACTCCTCGGTACTTGTTAAAAATCAAAAATGTTAAACGACCTAGCCAAAAAAGCCTCGGTGCCCATGATAAAAAACGGATTTTACGACATAAATTACGAAAAAGGACTATGGTATTTGGGACGTGGAATGTCCAAGGCATTTCAAGAAAATTACCGGAAGTGATATCGGAGATCAAAAAGCATCAAGTGGATATTGTTGTTTTGACTGAGACTAAAAAGAAAGGACAGGGTTCCGAAAATTACGAGGATTATGATCTGTTCTACAGCAGCGTGCCCAAAGACCAGCAGGCGCGGCAAGGGGTAGCCATAATGATGCGGAAAAGTCTACGCAGATTTGTTGTTAATTGGGAGGCTGTCAACCAGCGCATCATTAAGATGAACTTGAACTTATACGGTCATAAAATCACGCTGTTCGGGGTGTATGGAGTAAATGATGATGCAACTGTCGCAGTCAAGGACCAATTTTTTGAAGATCTGAATGAGGAAATCACGAAGGTGGCAGCTGGCAGGGAAGTAATTGTTATGGGTGATTTGAACAGCAGAACGGGACGACGAGGCAACTGCAAAGTTGTTGGACCGTTCGGGGAGGATGCTGTTAATGATAATGGAGATCGGCTCATCGATATTTGTTCCCAAATGGAGATGAAAATTCTGAATGGTTTTTTCCAACACAAAGACATCCATAAATACACCTGGGTCCAGCCTACTCGAGGATTGAAATCCATCATTGATTACGTGATAGTGAGGCAGGCAACTAAATTGAAAGTGCAGCAAGTACGAGTTTACAGGGGACTTTCTTGCGGCAGTGATCATCATTTCCTCCGGGCAGATGTAGCGTTCCCTGTTAAGGGCAGTAAGGACAAACAGCCAATGCAGCAACAACAGCAGAGGCAGGGATCACAAGAACAAGAAGTGTGGTATAATATTGGAAGTTTGGAGCACCCCAGCGTTAAGGCACTGTACAGGCAACGCTTGGATGAGAAGCTGGGGGATGGATCATCTGGAACCACGGAAGAACAATATCAATTTATTAAAGAATGCATCCACTCTGCTGCAAAAGAAGCCCTAGGTGTTTACAAGCCCAGTCATAAAGACCAGCGCCCGTACTGGTGGGATAGAGAAATAGAAGACGAAATTAATCTGAAGAGGCAAAAACATCAAATTTTCTTGTCGTCTAAGAAAGCGGAAGATAAAGTTGCGTACAGGAAAGCTCGGTCTAAAGTCAGGAGCCTCATAACAAGAAAGAAAAATGAAGCTTGGGAAAGCAACTGTAATCGAATCAACACCTACCTAGGGGGAAGAAAAAGTGCCGAGAGTTGGAAGCTAATTAAAGGTTTACGCAGGGACATGAAGCGGGATATCTTGTCTCCGATATCACTTAAAAAACTGGAGGATCATTTTAAAGATCTTTTGACGGAAAGGCGCCCAGAATTTCGAGACAGCAGCACGGACAACGGAAGAATGAGCAACTTGGAGATTCACACTTGTGACATTATTAAAGCGGTCAAAGAGCTGCAAAATGGCAAAGCACCGGGTCCAAGTGGAATCCCTGTCGAGTTGGTTAAGAGCGGGACTTCTAAGCTCTTCGAGTGCCTCAGAAAGCTGATGCAGCAATGCATTAGGGGTGACGAGGTGCCAGGGGAGTGGAAGGAGTCCTGGATCAAGGCCATCTACAAAAAGAAGGGAAGGAAGGACGATTGTAACAACTACCGGGGGCTCTCAGTGACCGGGACAATAAGCAAAGTGTACGGGAAGATACTGAAAGCGAAGATCGAGGACGAATGGCAAGATCACGAAGCAGAGGAGCAGGCTGGTTTTCGAGCTGGCAGGTCTACGATAGATCACCTCTTTGTTATTGTCCAGGTCATTGAGAAGAAAATGGCCGTAGCTCAGGAGCTGCATTTAATTTTTGTGGATCTCCAGAAGGCGTATGACAGTGTGCCGTTGGTGAAACTTTGGGAGGCCTTGGGAAAATCGAATTTTAACGGGGGGTTGATTGACGCTGTTAAGCGATTTTATAAAGGGAGTTTTACCAAAATTAAGTGCCATGGGGGGTTGTCAGCGGGATTTTATGTTACTAAGGGTTTAAAACAGGGATGTTGTTTGTCGCCAACATTATTTAAAATTTATCTCGAGTGCGTGCTAAAAGAATGGAAAAAGAAATGTTCTGGTATGGGTGTCCCCTTGGGTTGAAACTCTGTTCACTCTGTGCTTTGCTGATGACCAGGTGGTGGTTGCTCAAGATCAAGACGACGCGGAATACATGATGCGCAAGTTAGTAGAAGAGTATCGGAAGTGGGGTCTGGAAGTCAGCATATCCAAATCTGAGAAGATGACTTTTGGCGGTGATCAGCAAAGCATTGAGTTGGAGGATGGGCAGCAGATCAAAGGCTGCGAGCACTATAAGTACTTGGGAGTGCGGTTGACCCAGGATGGAAGAACTGATCAAGCGATTAAGGAAAGAAACACCCTGGCAAGGAAGGCTACAGCGATGTTAAATGGAATCCTCTGGGACCCTCGGATTTCCAAGGAGAACAAGAGGAGAATTTACGACGTTGTAGTCAAGAGTATTCTTACTTATGGATGTGAAGTTTGGCAGCTGAAGGAGCGGACAAAGGGGATGCTAAGAGCAACGGAGATGGATTTCTGGAGGAGGTCTGCTGGAATTTCTAGGAGAGATCGGGTCCGCAATGAAAGAGTGCGTCAGATCATGGGAGTCGAAAATGACATCATATTCGACGTCATGACCAGACAGCTTGTCTGGTATGGTCATGTCAATAGAATGACAGACGAAAGGCTGCCAAAGAAGTTGCTTGATTGGGTTCCTCCTGGAAGGAGACGAAGGGGACGCCCAGTGAATGGGTGGCGACAGGGGATTTTAGAAGAAATGAGGGTTTGTCAACTCCCTGAAGGGCTTTGGGAGGATAGGAGACTTTGGCGGCTAGGGGTCGCAGAGCACCAAAGAGCGCTATAAAAGCGACTTTATACATACATACATATATTCTGCTAAAATAATAAAGTTTTTTAAAAATGCAATTTTTCAAGTGAAATTTTTTTAGATATTTATACCGTACAGGTTTTAAAATATGGTTTTGTTGTTGATGTTTTGATATCATGACCATGTAAGACCATTGGATCATACACGAAGCCTAAACAAGCGTAATGAATTTTCGGCTTTTCATCAGCCCTCTTGTTTTGAACTGTAACTTTTTTCCTTCGCTTTTTCAAACCCAAATTTTTTATTTCAGATCAAAGAACATATTGATGAAGTTCTCTTTGAAAAATATGACAAATTGCTGCTTGAAGCTTCACTTGTTGTATTAACTGACATCGTCTATTGTCCAAGAAAATTTTGCAATTACCCTGTCACCAGAGAGCCCAATGAAAAGTTGGCAATCTGTCCTGAATGTAAATATCCGTTTTGTGTTCTTTGCAAAATGACGTATCATGGTATTGAAAAATGTAAATTTGCATCTGGTAAGTGTTAATTTTTTGTGTGTTTATCAAATCTATCTTTTCTCCTTTTTATTATTTTTTGTAGGGACTATATTTTAACATTTACTTGGCAGTAGATCCTCCTCATTTGTAGAGGAGCGACATGCATTTTGGCTGAGCAAAAGAGAATATTATTTCATGCAACGTTTTTCTTGGGGAACAGAACAGTGCTCTACCTTCCCTTTAATACTTTGGGAACCATCTTTGCCGGGAAGCCCAAGTTTTAGGAGCCATCTACAATTTTTTAGTCCCCAAATCATCTTTTTTCATACATTTTGCATCATGGCGCATTTAATTTTCTTGCTCCAAGTCTTTCTTTCTTTCTTGAATCTTCTTTTTCTCAATCTACATTACTGCGCCAAAAATGGTGTATCAAGAGCGCTGCTGCTGCTTGGCAATAGTAAGTTTGAACAGGGTACATAAACTTTTTTTTGGCCCCATAGCGGCACAGCCTCCTCAGTTTCAGGTGCAAAGCTGGATTCTGAGGCACATTTGGACGTATTTCAATCAAACAGAACTATGTGCAGCGAGAAAGATGGGGTGTGCTCGTTAGTGCTCGGGCCATAAGAATGAATGGGAAATATAAAGCGACAGTGGCGAAGCCGCCGTCGCGTACGGCGTCTTTAACTCATGAGCCCTGTCTACAATGCTCTAGATATCTTACGGCTTATCCACTGTAAACATAGTTCCGTTTGACAGAATGTGAAATCCTGCTTCTCCAATTCAGCAAATGGAACTGTGAGCCAACTAAGTGCGGCATCATTGAGCCGTGGGCATCTGTCTAGAGTGTTGTAGACGGGGCTCATGAGTTAAAGACGCCGTATGTGACCGCGGTGGCAGCTTTGTCACTGCCGCTTTATATTTCTCATTCATTCTTTTGGCCACACCCATCTTTTCCCCTGCACATAGTTCTGTTTGATTAAAATACGTCCATTTGATGAATGGTTTCTGTAGAAGGCACATTACCGGAACAGAATAGGTATAACAAGGAGTATGCAGCAGGTATATGTAAAGTATAAACAAGATATTTTTAATAGAGGCATAAGCCGCTGTAACATAACTCCTCATATTTTTGCAATAATACTAAAAGCAAGCATACAAGAATTTCGATTTTTCAGAGAATCGACCAAAGACTAGAGAAAATGGCAAATATAACTTATTTTATCTTTTTTTAGGCGAGAAACGGGCTTTGGTCCTGGCATATCAAAATGGTGATGCTAAACAAAGAGAAGAATTGGAGCTTCGGTATGGTCACCGGCAGCTACAAGCGTTATTATTTGATGAACTATCAACTCAGTGGATCAGTAGCAACAGTAAGAACTGTCCCAACTGTAGCTCTCCAATTGAGGTTAGTATTTTGCTGCTCAAACTTCAAATCATTATTTTTTTTTCATATCTAAGTAGGCGAGAGAGAATCTCTGAATTTGCAAGAGAGTTCTCTGTGAAGTATGCAATGGGTCAGTTGTGCTAGTCCGTAATGAGAGTTATCTATTATTTATTAAAAATGCACAGCTTTCCTGTAATTGACTGTCAGTACCCATGATTTTGTTAACTGAGCTTTCATTTAGTTTGCTGAAGCTGTTAGACTAAAACTACAAAGTTGCATATCTCAGTTACTGTGTCTCAAAATCTCTGCTCCTATTTTATGTCTTAAAAGCAGACTGAACCATCATCATGTCTCAGAATTTTTACAGAATATTCCTCATGAAGAGGAAAAAAATTACTGAAGTTTTCGAGAAATGACATTTAATAGTTTTCCATGTAAAAACTGAAGCATGACAGGAAGTCTGCAACGCTGCAAACCTTGGTTGAAACTGCATATCCCGATATGCCATCTTACCATCTTGTGGTAAAGATGTTTTGGTAACATCATGAAGATAACCCTGCATCAATTTTTCATAGAAAATGACGTAAGTATGACATTTCCTGGTGAAACTTTCAGTCAGAACGTCTCTTTTATTCTAGTTTGAGTGTTTAATACATTTTCTTTCTGTCCAGAAAAACGATGGCTGTAATAAGATGACATGTACAAAGTGCGGAATTTTTTTCTGCTGGGTCTGTGGAACTTGCTTGTCTCAGGATCGGCCCTATGATCACTTTTCAAACCGCACATCTAAATGCTTTAATCTCTTATTTGAAGGTGCCAATGTTGTAGATGAAGAATTTGATGCTCTTCTAGAGGAAGAAGAGTTTGATGAACAATTTTGAATCGATGAAGAACAAGAATATTGAAAAGTTTTAAACTGTAAACTATTGGCAATCTTACAGTGTAAGCTGATTTTTCTACTTAGAATGCTTGAATATTCGGTTGCTGCTTTATTGTGTCTTTCCCAGACCTGAGGAAGTCTGGACTTTCTCCTCTCATAGACTGAAACTTTTTCATGGGCTGTAAATTTTTATTGAATTCCAAAGCTTTTCTCCATTTTTTGGCCTCTTAGTAGAAACATATAACTAGGTAATAATGTTCCTCATAATGGCATGTAAAAGTAACATGAGGTAGGTAAACATGTCCCCCAATTTTTAAAAAAATAGGTGAAAGAAACACGGTTCAAAATATAAATTAATAGTTTAAGTGGGTTGATTAGGGGTGAAGCTGAAGGAATAATGACTAGGAACAAATGTAGTCAATGACTGAATGTCATTATTGAGATGAAACAATATTTCTGTTGTTAAGTTGTTTTCATCCTCGCAAAATGAATCAACTCAGATCAAAATATTAGAAAATAAATTTAAATCAATTTCAATTAAATTGATTTAAAAATAGAGTTTGCTGGTGCTGCATCAAACGTCAATTTGTTTAAATTATAAATTGAGGTTTAAATCATAGATACCGTAACGTTTTGTAGCATTCTAAATCATAATTGGATATTTAACTGTCTTGAGCATAGCTATGAAAAACCTCCCTAGTTTACCTAACTACATTGGGTGTCCTGAAAGTGGGTGTACTGGGATGGGTGCCGTAACTGAAACAAATGCAGCTAAGGAGCTAGTAATGGTTCCATACAAAAGGACAGCTCCTTCTCTATTAACTGACACCTATTTAAACTCATTCGGTCAAAACTTGCGAATTTCTGACAGTTCAACAAATAAAAAAAAGAAAGAAAACAAAGCAACTGGGGCCTCTTTCCACTTTCAACATAATTTTTTTTTTGCCAATATTTGTAGAATTCAAAATTCTTCCTGGCTGTCTTAAGTACTAGAGATATTTCTTTCCTCTTTAAAGTATTTTCCATCGAAGTTTATGCGCTCCTTAATTCTCTCGATCTATTTAACCACTATCTCTTCTCTTAATTATTCAGCAGAAATGGTAGTGGAATTTTCAACCAAATGTGCTCATTTTGATGTTCAGAAGAAAAAAAGGGATAAAAATGAGCTGTTCCTTTGAATGAAACCATAACCATTTCCCCAGTTGCATTCTTTTTGAAGTCATGGCGCTAGTCCTAGTACTTTTAAGGTACCTTAATTTTGCAAAAAAAGAAGAAAAGAACAAAATTTAGCTCCTCTACCAAATGCATTGCACTTGTTAGAAGGGATAATTTTTTTTATATCTACCTCCGAAAATTAAGAGGAAAAGACGTAATTTTATAGTTTTTGATATCATTAACTTACTTTTTTCCCACTCCGAACAAGACACACAAGACTGAACATTTGACCTCACCAGATTTAAAAACGTGCCTTTCTTGGGCTGCAGAACCGTCAGTCCTCCTTCAAAGGCATACACAAACAAAGATGTACTGCAAAGTTTTTCAACGCTTTTCGAATGTCTGACTCTCCGAAGAAAAAGCAGTCTGTCAAGACAATAATAATTTCAATTTGTTTGCGAGGCACAACCTTTTCCTCATAAGTATCAGAATCAGGTATTCATTTGCTGCTCAATCAGTATTTACATTTAAGACTTTTATTGTCAGTATCGAGGGATTCTGGAATCTCATAACTCACTGTGAATTGTTCCAGAAAAATTCCTGGTAGCTTTTACAGGCCAATCAGAATTGAGCTATAGACTTGGAAACTTCATTTTTTAGCTTTTATCATGAAGACTCTTTGATGTGCGAGGTTTACTAAGTAGGCTTTTAAGCATATGTAGTCAAAAAACTTGGCTGTTCCAAGGGAAAGAGACTTTGGTCTATCAGGGCAAAATTTTAGGCGCAGTAATTTTTGTTAAGTTGGGTTTAAAAAGGGATTTCAAGATTTAAAAAGAAAAAAGAAAACCCTCTTCAATGTCCTGAAAAATGAATATCTATTTTAATTTGAGACTGCAAGTTCATCAATCAGATAATTTTTTTTTCTGTAGATTACTCTTTTTTATTTTATTGTTGGAATGTTATTATTTTTCATCTATCAATCTTCCAAAAGGCAGAAGATAGAATTAAAAGTAGATAATGTGTGTCCCTTCATGGAGGTAGAACCTCAGCACACAAAATCTCAAAATTTTTCATTAATGATATGACAGAGCATAGGAGAGTGTTCTATGGACAGTTTTGCATAAGTAAGTTGTCCTAAAGTGTCCAATCAAACTAGGGTTCTGGCAGTTTAGTGTTTGCAGTTTAAGTAACGTTGTTTCAAGGAGAATGTAATGTTGAATGAGAAGTAATGTTTTTACAATTCATGCCATTTTTAGGTTGCCAAACTATCAGGTTTTAATGCAACTTACTTTATGCTCTCTATTAGCTTAAAAATTTTATGAGCTGCTTGCAAATTATTCTGTAAGACACTGACAACAAGAGACCTTTCTCCCCTAGTGTTAAAATTCTCTTTTTTGACCAAACTCAATAAAATTTGCGCAAAGTACTGAAAATTTTGTCTCTGTGGACTACAATACCTTTCCCTATAGACATTCACCTGTTTATCATATTCTTTTTATTGTGTCGCTTGAATTGATAAGAAGTTGGTTTCAAGGGATCTAAATTTTTAAAATTAATGTCTGGGCTCTCAGTTGCCGCAGCTTTCTGTATAATCAAACCTACCGGGCGTCTAGGAATCAATGATGGCTTGAAGCTGCAATCGAGATGTAGAGACCCTATAGGACCCTGTCCTAGAGATTACTGCCCAACCATAGGAAGTACAAAATATTTTTGAATATGTTTAATGATACCAAAATGGGTGAACGAATCCCCTAAATCCACCCTAAACCTGGTAAAGTTCTGAAAAAAGAGGAACTCATTACCCATCCTTGTTATACAGTTCTTGCAATTTTAATTTTCCTTACTTTTTTATCAGTTTTAAATTTCTTATTTTTGATTTTTTTCAAAAAAAATAATCAAAGTTAATCCCATAATTTAATGTCTCCCTAATACGTAAAATTTACTCCGTAAAATTTATAGTTTTTAGATATGTACCTTCTCTCAGGGGAAACAGCAGTTTTTCTGTCAGTCTGTCTATTTTAAGTTTAGAAGTGTCATGAGGACTAATCTGTCTTTTATTTGTTTGTTTGTTTGTACGTTTTTTTGTTCCAGTTTTTTTTTCAAAAGTTGTGAAAAATCATTGATTATTTACAATGATACCAATCACATGTATCGTAAAACTTTAATCTGGTTTAACCCTTACTCAGCTACCCTGTAATTGTTTTCAAATTTGTTATGTAATTGATACAATTACTGTGTGGCTTTTTTTTAAAAAAAAATAAATAAATAACTAAAAAGTAATTCTCATTACTGATATCTCATTTTTATTTTGTTAAACAAGAGGCTTCACAGGAAATCTCAACTTAATCTTTTCCGCATGCTCTGAAATATTTGTTTCCTTTGCTCACCTCTGAATCCTTGAGCAAACAAAGAGAGGCATCTATTTTGTGTGCCTGGACTCAAGGATGAGCTAAGTTTTGTATGAATGAGGAAGAAAATTTCAGCACACTTCTGACCTTTTCTGTGAAAACCAAACCAACTGTGGCATAATTGGATATAAGAAACTAAACAAAACCAAGTATTACCAATTGAAATTTGCAGGTTTCAAGACGTTCTGTCAACGATTTTCTGTCTGTGCACCTGCTTTGTCCAGTAGTTAACGTCCATGCCTAAAATAAGCAACACTGACTTGGTCCAAGCGTTATATTCTAGTCCGTATGTAAAATTATATTTCACTGAAAAGAGAAAATTGAGAGAGAAGGAGGTGTCAATATGGTAACTCATTTTTTAAATGAAATGTTACTTTCTTCTTTTAATTCATCTTTTCAAATTCTTATTGGTGAATATTTGGTTTTATTTCTATCCTTAAAAATTTTCTATATAAAATATATACCTTATGCATACCTTTTTTTTAAAATGAAATTATTACCTCATTTTAAAAACATTTACATTTTTGAAACGTGGCAAATACTTGTAAAACCTTTTCCAAGCAATCGCATCGATATTTAGCTCAATGAGCCGTAGTTGTGTTAAAAGAAACTCTACAAAAATGAATAGTAGAGGGAAAAAAACCAAGAAGCACGCCATCTTTGGTTCTAACCCATTTGTACATGGATCTTTTAGAGTCAAATACGTCCAATTTTCAGCGTTTCGTTGCGCGTACACCACGCTGCAGCAAAGTAAAAGCACAAAATGTAAAAGAAAAAATTGAATTGCTTTGGAAATCATTAAATTTGACATGGAGCCACCTTAATTTTTGCAAAACACACGTTATATTTTCCTTTAATACATAAATTTTTTCATCGATTTAAATGAGAATAATCCATGTAGAGTGGGTAAACATTTCAAAATCATAAGTTGAAAAATGCTGAATCGGCGAGTTAAAATATTAGAGCCTAACTGAGCCTAACACACAGCGGAGCAGCGTGCTGCTTGAACGAAACGCGCACTGGCGCCTACAAACCTAAGGGGATACTTCACGCATTGCGCAATGCTTGAAGTATCCTGTTAGGTTTGTAGGCGCCCATGCGCGCTGCTGGCTGCCCGCCGTACCGCGGCGTGCCACGGCGCCTCAAGCAACTATTGCACGACATAGGTGTTGCACAGTATCATACGAAATTGAAGGCGCTCGAACATATTAAAATGACAGGCATCCTTCCACAGTGCAGAGCTTTCCTCGCACGTTCCACGTTTTTGGGGGGTTTTTCAACATGTGGGTGACTAAACTCAAGACCGAGGAAAACATTAATCAAAATGAAATAGCACCAAAAAATGCAACTGGTATACTTAAATCTGAAATGGTTTACATATTGTGATCATTCGAGTACAACTTTTGAGTTGAATTTCCCTCGAGTGTTCAGGGTCTAACAACAATAACAATGACTCATATTTTAGTAATGAATAAATAATTTTCATAGTCAAATCTGTAAATTATGATACAGGCAAATTTGTGCGTTAAAATATGCTTTCATTTATTTTCCTCCTCTGGAAACCAAGAACTACATGCTTCCACTGCCACCTCACAAACAGCCGATAGTGTTTTCCCAACATCGTACTCTGGAAAAGAGAAAAAAATAATTAAATCAGGACTGAAAGAGTTGAGAAAAGAAGAATTTACCATAGAATTAAGATCAGAGGTTTTTAGAGGCTTTTACCGTCTTAGAGTTTAAACACTATAATTAAAGTAGGTAAAACTTCCACTTCAAGTAGGTAATAAAATCTAAGATCAACAGGTAGCCAAACAAAATAACAGGAATATGAGAGTTTTTTATTTTCTCTGATATTGCAGATTGCTGAAAACATTTAAGGGATTCGCGAGGGACTGCAATAATTTGTCATTACTTAAATACAAATAAGGAATAACTCCCCTCTCTATACCCCCAAAGCAATATATAAAACAAAAAAAAGGTGCGACCTCAAAGTTTGTCAAAATCTTACTCCAAGGATATATTCTCAAAGTTTTACTGTTGAATTCCCCACCAATTTGTCTGTAAATTTGCCTTATCCCAAGGAATGTCAAAATCTTACTCCAAGGATATATTCTCAAAGTTTTACTGTTGAATTCCCCACCAATTTGTCTGTAAATTTGCCTTATCCCAAGGAAAAATTTGCAATGAAAATATCCAAGTAACATTGAAATCTTTTGCAATAATACCATTGAAATTTTCTGCATTGCAATTAGAATTTCTGAAATAATGTTGAATTTTTTTTACCTTGAAATCGCAACATTTTTACATAGGTTACAGGTACTATGCCGCATGAACGAAACTGTTCCTGGCTCTTCTATGACAGCACCCATCTGGATAGGAAAACTAAAGGTAGGTACAAACTTTGTTTCTGAAATGAGCCAGAAATGGTGGCTCAAGGATGCAGTCCATTTGGTAGACGATTAGACGAAGAATAGGCAGCTTGGTTATTTTTAATGCAAAGAAAACTTGCAACTAATTCTATTTTATTGCAATAAATTTCAATATAAAGAGGAGCCCCTTCAATTGGTAGGTAGGCAACATACACAACACACCAATGCAGAAGTGGATTGCATTTTGCAAAACAGAACCAGGAGCATTCAAATGTCGCTAAGATTCTGCAACTTTTTTATCTCGCAAATATAGGTAAACTAATGCTCTGAACAAGTTTTATCTTTACGTCCAATGGGCGATGAATTTAAGACAAAATTCCTTTAGAAAATTTTATTTTTTGCACGGTTTCAGCCATTTTTGGCAGAGATAGTAAGTTGCACAATCCTAGCAACATTGGAATGTTTCTGGTTCCTATTAAAAAATGCAATCCAAGTAGCAGTAGCAATTACACCGCATAATCGCAATTTATTGCCTCTTAGATTATGGCGCTTTGCTTTAAAGACAACAGTATTCTTTAATTGGATGGGTTGCTGGCAGGCAAATCACAGACTTTTGTCTCGGAGATTAAAAGAAATGCGTCTATATTTTCGTTGAAAAAAGAAGAAGAAAATTTCCAGATGTAAAAATATGAAACAATCACCAATGGTGCTGACTCGTTTTCCGAATATGCTGCCGTTCAACGGTGGTTTTCTGGCAATCGTCAGCGAGATATGCATTAGGAAGAGGAGGACCAACACTGCTCGGAAGTAAAACCCAGAGCCTCTTTTCATTCTGCAATCAGAAGAGGGGTACTCATAAGCCTATCTCATGATTTTTTTTAACTTTGAAGTGGTTAAAGAATGACAAATAGTGGACTTAAATCGCAAGGTCTTAGAGAGAGAGAGATTAGTAAGAGAATGCACCTTCATAATTCCAGTAATCATGTGATTTGAGCTAGTCAAAACGGTCACACATGTACGCAACTCATTAGATTCTTAGCGCGTGTGTAGAAATAAGGTACAGAAATGAATAACAGGCATATGGATAGAATTTCTGCTCGCCTCTAATTCGCCATGGAGAAAAAAAGGAGGTGTTCGCATTTTAGGCATCTTGGATTTTTACTTTCTCGCTCCCATAGGGTAGAGAGGAAGTATTGTCATCCTCCAAAAAAAAAAAAAAAAAAAAAAGTT